TCCTGCGCTTCCGGTAGGGGGGGGGGGGCAAGTCTACGAGTTTCAGTGTCTGCCGTTCGGCCTGTCCAGCCCCCCCCCCCCCGGTATTCACGAAGTTGATGAAGGTCCCAATCAGTGTTCTTTTTCGTCAGGGCATTCGTCTCATCCTGTATCTCGATGACCTTCTCCTGATTGCCGAGTCGCGGCCGGCCGCCGTGCTGCAGACGCAGCAGGCAATTCAACTCCTAGAATCTCTGGGTTTCGTAATCAATCGGAAGAAGTCCATTCCCGAGCCTTAAGCGGGATTCACAGAAGCTTTGTTTGCGATGCGACACGCGATGCGACGCGATCTGCGATGGATGCGTGCGATGCGAACTCGCGAAATACCATTCACAGAAGAAGTCAGCGATGCGACAAAGTCTTGCTGATTTGGTTACGTCACCATGATATTCGCGCGGTTTGATACAACTTGTAAATATTTATAGGCAACTCTTGAACCTTTGTACAACTTTGCTGTAGAAAAGGTCAAAATCGTACGCCAAATCGCTTGTCGCATCGCATCGCATCGCAAAAGTTAAGCCAAGCTCAACTTAAGCAACAGATCTAGTTCCTAGGATTTCAGTTGAACTCTGTGGCCATGACGATGTCTGTGCCGATCGACAAGGCGCGGAAACTCCAGCAGGAGTGCCACCGAGCCCTGTCCCAGCCCTACCTGTCCATCTGCGCATTGACCTCACTCCTGGACAGGATGCTTGCGTGCTCCCCGGGCATGTTTCTGGCTCCACTGCCTTCAGCAGTTGAAGATTGCAGCCCTTCATCGCCATCAGAGCTACCTTGCCATGGTACGCCGGAAGCCAGGACGGAGTTGGCGTGGTGGGCAGCAGATCTAGAAACTTGGGACGGTCGCTCGATTCTCAAACCTCCCGCTCAGCTCACCATATTCTCCGATGCGTCCCTGCTCGGCTGGGGAGCGGTGTGCAGCACAACGAGTACCGGGGGTCAATGGTCCCCTACCGAGGCCAATCTCCACATCAATGCTCTGGAATTTATCGTTGCCTCATTTGCGGTGAAAGCCTTTCATCACCGGGCCTCGTACCGTCCCCTGCACATCAAGTTATTGATCGACAACACGACAGCCGTCAGCAACTATCCTGTCCCAGATCGCTTGCGATCTCTGGAGATGGGCGGTCCAACACGATATCCGCCTCCAGGTGGAATATGTGCCGAGCGAGGAGAACCCAGCGGACCATCCTTCTCGGGGCTCCCTCTCCGAGTCTGGCGACTGGCGCCTGGACACTGCTCTGTTCTGCAGGATTCAGAAAGCGACTCCTTGGACCTTGGTGCTAGATCTGTTCGCATCTCGACTGAACACTCTACTTCCCGCCTTCTATGCTTAGAGGCCGGATCCTGAGGCTCTTGCTCTGGATGCATTCTCTCAGGATTGGAGTCTCCCTCATCAGGACGCGGTGTATGCCTTCACAACCATTCTGCCTACTGGACAGGGTGCTTCATCGTGTGGCCTCACTCCATACTTGCCGGATTTTTCTGGTCGCACCAATATGGGATACGCAGCCGTGGTACGCGACTTTGCTGCAATTGTTGGTCGATTTCCCCAGGCTTCTGCCCACATTCGACTGCCTGCTGCTCTCACCCTCGGGCCGTCCACACCCACTGGTACTGTCCCGCCACCTGCGCCTCGCCGCATGGCCTATGTCCAGCAGCGCTTCAATGCAGCAGGACTTTCTCCACTGGTCGTGCGACTCCTCTCCTCCTCTTGGCGGTCATCAACCAATGCCATTTCCTGGTGAGAGCGCATCTCCATCTCCTCACTGCGCAAACTACTAGTCGTGCACCTCGCATCATTAGGGACCTTTCGCACCCCGCGTACGGATACGAAACGAATGCTGATTCGTCACCTGGGTTCGAGGATTCGTCAGAGTCCCTGCGGAGAACTCGTTTTCACGAATGGAAGCCTCTTCATTCGTGGCACGCTCCGAATCCGTCAGGTACACATTTATTTGGATAGGTATGTAACCCTCTCTGAAAGGCTACAGAGTATCTCAACACACAAAGAATCGGAACCCAGGAAATTACTCTCGCCATGACGGGTAAAATCAAACTCTCTCTCCTGCCTTCAGCAAGAAGCGCGGGAAGACCAAAGGAAAAGGGTGTCACGTGTGGGGCTAGGTTCCCGCCACGGCAGCGATATCACGAGACAGCATGCGTCACTACTTGTACAAGGGTCTACACCTCCCCCTCCTTTGAAAGGCCATGACCTCATGGCCGGGGGTGGAAAAAAAAGTATACTTATAAACAGCAAGGCCTCGAAAAGTGACTTAGGGTATGTGAAGAAAACGATGAGAAAAGTTGCATGCGGCAATGGGGTATACATGTAATCTCATTCAAACACGGAACACGGTCCGAAAACATGGAGAGATTAAAAAAAAAAGGTAAGTATTGAAGTGGGGCGGGCGCTGCCGCCTCAGAAACTACCGCTGCGTAATACTGGGGTGGGCTACGGCGATCGGCACATGTTACGTGCAAAAACATGAGTAGAAAATCAAGGCATGCAAAAGCAAAGATTCGCAAAGCAGAACAGCAGGTAGGAATGACAAGTGCAGTCATCGAGTCAGAGTACCTGTCCTCCCGTCTACGTGATCAGACGGTCAGTTGAGTACCACACACGGTGCGACTGTGGCGGGGGTAGGCGAACATCACCAGCTGTGAACTGGACGCCTGGTGTGTACTGGGGACAGGGATCAGCGTTGACAGTTGGCACCGGAGCAGGGTTGGGTGCCGGAACAGGAACGGTCGGTTGAGGGCCGTGGAACGGCTTCAGGCGATCGACATGGACTATGTGTGACTTCTGGTCGGAGCACCCCTGAATTTCCAAGACCACGTCATCCAGGAGACGGGCAACACGGTACGGGCCTTTCCACGGCCGGTGGAACTTGCTGCACAGACCAACTTTCACAGCCGGGTTGTGGAGGAGAACCAGATCGTCCGGCTTGAACGGGTTGGCACGACTACGAACATCATAGGCTGTCTTCTGACGTTTCTGAGCCTTGGCACCGCACTCACGAGCAAGTTCATAGGCATGTTGGAGGGACTGTTGCAGTTGGCTGACGTACTCGGGTACGGACACTGATGGTCTGGTAGGCGTAGAATACATCAGATCCATCGGGAGTCGGATCTCTCTGCCGAACATCAGGTAGGTCGGTGTATGCTGAGTCGATGAGTGGCAACTGGTACGATAGGCTAGTAGACACCGCTGCAGGTACAGATCCCAGGTGTCATGGTGACCTGCAACGTGCTTGCTGATCATGGCGGCTAGGGTCCGGTTCATCCGCTCCACTAAGCCGTCACTTTGCGGCCGGTAGGGTGTGGTCTGTGTCTTCCTCATATCCAGAAGCTCGCACATCGCCTTAAACAGCTTCGAGGTGAACTGGGCACCCTGGTCCGAATGGATGGACTCCGGCACTCCAAAACGGCAAATGAAACCGTCGACGAGCGCGGACGCGACAGTCTCGGCACGGATGTCGGGGAGAGCGTACGCCTCAGTCCACTTTGTGAAATAATCGCAAACAACTAAGATGTACCGGTTGTTTCGGGCAGTGGTCGGCAGTGGGCCCAGCAAGTCCAGGGCAATGCGCTGCATGGGGTATGCAGCAAGCTCTTCCTGCATGGGAGCCGTGCGCGAAGGGATGGGACCCTTCCGCTCCTGACACTCCTGGCAGGCGGCACAGTATCTGGTGACATCCGCCTGCATGAACGGCCAATAGAATCGGTCCTTGAATTTGGCGAGTGTCCGCTCTGCGCCCAGATGACCGCCGCTGACTTCCGAGTGAGCAGACTTCAGGACATCAGGTCGGAGTTGGCGGGGAACAATGAGTTGCAAGCGCGACTCAGCACTGGCGTCATAGTAGGTCCGGTACAGAATGCCTTGGACAAGCTGGATGCGAGACCATTGAGACCACAAGCGTAAGAGGCCTCTGGACGCACCTTTCAGGGCCACATCTGAACGCTTCGGTCGATCCAGCAGTGCACTCTGCCATCCGGACATCTTGGCGAGGTCCGGGTCACTCTCCTGGGAGTTCAGCAGGTCTTCACGAGTCCATACTGAGCACCAACTGGGTGGGTCTGGCAACGCAGCACGGACGGTGATGTGGGTGCTCGGGGCGTCTTCCACAACACTCACGGGATGGTCCGGTGTTGGATGCGGCAGTCTGGACAGTCCGTGCGCGTTGGCATGGCGCCTACCCGGTCGGTGAATGATGACGAAGTCGAACGCTGCTAACCGCTCCAACCAACGAGCGAAAAGTGGAGGTGGTTCCTTGAAGGAATGAAGCCAGGTCAGAGATTGGTGGTCGGTGCGGAGTGTGAACTGAGCGCCCGCGAGGTAGTGGCGGAAATGTTCGATGAACGTGATAACGGCAAGCAGTTCACGCTTCGTGGCGGAGTAGTTCCGTTGGGACTTGGTGAGTGATTTGCTGGCATAGGCCACAACACATTCACGCCCATGGGAGTCACACTGGCTCAGACGCGTCCGTGTCCAGGAGGAACGGTCGACCAGGATCGGGGTAGGCCAAGACAGGGGCAGTGACAAGCTGGTGCCTCAACGCTTCGAACGCGTCCTGGCAGGCAGGAGTCCACTGGAAGGAGGCTTGCTTCTCGGTGAGCTTGTTGAGAGGGGCAGCAATGGTGGAGAAGTTGGGGATGAATCGACGGTAGTAGGTCGCGAATCCGGTGAACTGTCGTACGGCGGTTGGGGATGATGGGGTGGGCCAGTCGCGGACAGCAGCATACTTTGCTGGGTCAGGAGATACACCCTCGGCGGACAGCCGGTGGCCCAGGAATGTGACAGAGTCCGCGAACAAACGGCACTTCTGCGGCTTGATCTTCAGGCCGGCTTGTCGCAAGCGTTGGAGGACCGTACGCAAGTGCCGGAAGTGCTCTCCGACCGATCGTGAGTAGATCACGAAATCATCCAGGTAGACCATGCAGATAGAGCCCTGAAGGTCGCCGAGCACCTCGTTCATCAACCGCTGGAATGTTGCAGGCGCGTTGCATAGCCCAAATGGCATGGACCGCCACTCGTATAAGCCGAACGGTGTCACAAACGCTGCCCTCTGGCGAGCCGCTTGGTCGAGCTCCACCTGCCAGTATCCGCTGGTCAGGTCCAGGGTGGAGAATACAGTGGCACTGGACATCTGGTCAATGGCAGTACCGACACGTGGGATGGGGTAGGCTTCCTTGATGGTGATGGCGTTCAGCTTTCTGTAGTCTACGCACAGTCGGAGTGACTGGTCAGGCTTCCGCACAGTAACGATCGGGGCAGACCATGGACTGGTCGACGGTGAGATAATGTCTCTGTGTAGCAGGTCGTCGACGTGAGCCTTCACCTCAGACTGAAGGTGGACAGGAATGCGCCTGGGTGCCTGGCGGATGGGGCGTTCAGAGCTAGTCTCCACCGTGTGGGTGATAAGCGAGGTGGTGCCCAGGTCCTGCGGTCCGGTGGATATGACATCCGAGTACTCAGACAGCAGTTCGGCGAGCTCCTTGGTGTTCCCGTCGTCCAGAGGTGGTCTCTCAAAGAGGTCGAACGGCTGGGTGGCTGGGTTCTCTGCTGGAACAGTGGCATTGCAGCAGGCAGCCAGAGGAGCAGGCGGAAGACTTGGCTCATCGTCCATGGTAGTGCACGAGTGCAGCTCACCAATGATTGTGTCTTTCGGAATCGTGACTGGTTTGAGGGAGAGGTTCTGCAGACAGATGGGTACATATTCCCGGCATGACTTGTCCTCTACTAGGGTAGGTGTCATAGCCAAGAGGTGCTTGTCCAGGAACCGTGTGCGGGGCTCAATCAGAGCAACCGAGCCGAAAGAACCAGCCTGTTCCGGGACAGAAGCCGGAGCCAACGTCTGCGAGTACCCGGGGACAACAACAGGGGTAAGCAGCCGCACGAATCGGACAGCCGCGGGACGTGGCGATGCGATCCCGGGTGGTGGGGGTCTGTCCAGTGGATACGTAGTGCCGCCCATCACCAAACAGGAGTTGGACATGTCTATCTGACACTGAGTGGCACGGAGGAAGTCCAGACCGAGAATGCCAGAGACTTCAATGTCAGCGACGAGAAATGGATGACGGCAGCGGACGTCGGACGCAATCTCAATCGGCAGTTCCACCCGACCAGTGACAGCAACAGGACTGCCCGTCACGGATTGAACCGACACCGTAGGCGGGGTTAGACGAGCGGGAGAGACAGCCTTCTGACCGACCAGAGTGTGCCACACAGCAGTGCTAACCAGCGACACAACACTGCCGGTGTCGACCAACAGCGACACTTTCTGGCCTCCAATGTTTGTCGTGATGAAGAGCGATTCGGGCGTGGTGGTACAAGGAACAGTCAGTACAGGAGCAGGGTTACGTGCCGTCAGTACAGCACATGCATCACATACAGCAGGCGGCGAGGATTCACTAGACGATGGACAAACTTGCTCAAGGCACACAGAACAGGGCACACAACCGGTGGTGCCGGAGTGGATCACAGGATCACACAGCAGAGTAGCCATTGCCGGACCCGTGGCAATGGCTTCTAGTGGTTTCCCGAGCGGCCGGGCTGAGTGCGAGGAGGCTGGTTAGCGCCGGTCGTCTGCTGCTGCGGACACTGGCGCTGGAAGTGTCCCGGGCTTCCGCAGGACCAGCACACCCTCTGGCCACGTGCGGTGTTCTGGCTTGATGCTGGTCCTGGACGACCAGCCGCGGTGAGTGTCGTCAGCTTGGCTTCTACTTCAAGTAGGTTTTCCAACCGATCCAACACAGCTGCCAATGCCGGGTCGATGGCTGGTACAGGACGGGAGGTTGGGGCAGGGGCTACTGCCTGCACAGCCACGGGCGGGAGGGGATCGGCCGTCAGTTGCGAGTCTGTTTGCAGGATCGTCTGCATGTGTAGCGCCCGCTGGAGAGCGTCGTCCAGGGTGGCCGGGTTGACCGTACGAACTTGGACGCGCAGGTCGCGGCTGTCCAGGCCAGCGATGAACTGATCCTTCCCAAGAGTGTCCTGGACGGCGGGTTGGGTACGAGTACCTCGCAGTAATCGCTTAAAGGGGAAGTTAAGGCAAAAATTAAAATTTCACCAGTTGTAGTCTTCGGGGTGCTGAGTCGAATGGTCGTGGTCCGAGGAAGCTGAGACGCTCCCTTCCTACTTGAATCCCAATCGAACTCGCGCACTTCCACCGAAACTGGGTGACTGCGCCCTACTAGATGGGGATTTGTATGCAAAATGTCACTAAAAGCGCCATTTCATTCTTATAAAAGCATGGATGACCGCGATTGGCCCATATGTTGTACTCTTTTGGACGCTGAGTCGATTGGTTTTGGTCCGAAAAGGCTGCGATGCAGCGTTCCTCCTTTATTCCCAATCGAACATGGTTGAACAAGCGGTCACGTGCTCCTGCGTACGCCAGTCACCTGGTCACCGTGCCTGCAGGGTACAACTTACTAGCCTGTTTGACCTTTTTTGGGTGCAGTCCTGTCACTCGAGTTGAACTCGAGTTGAACCTTGGTGTGAAATTTGTCGCCTGCTGGCGTGGTGACCAGGTGATTTGGGCACCCAGGAGCACGTGACCGCTTGTTCAGCTATGTTCGATTGGGAATAAAGGAGGAACGCTGCATCGCAGCCTTTTCGGACCAAAACCAGTCGACTCAGCGTCCAAAAGACTACAACATATGGGCCAATCGCGGTCATCCGTGCTTTTATAAGAACGAAATGGCGCTTTTAGTGACATTTTGCATACAAATCCCCATCTAGTAGGGCGCAGTCACCCAGTTTCGGTGGAAGTGCGCGAGTTCGATTGGGATTCAAGTAGGAAGGGAGCGTCTCAGCTTCCTCGGACCAAGACCATTCGACTCAGCACCCCGAAGACTACAACTGGTGAAATTTTAATTTTTGCCTTAACTTCCCCTTTAACGGCTCCCCAGGGCGTTGGCGACGACCCTGCAGCTCAGCCCGATACATGTCGGCTTGCTGGGGCGCATTGAACCGCTGCTCCATGAGCTGCAGCAACTGCGGAAGGGGGCCCTGGCGCACATTGGCATCCAGACTGTGGTAGTAGGAGAGAGCAGCTCCAGACAGATACAGACCAAGGTATGCGATCTGGTGTTGGGGCGTCCAATTGTTCACTTGGGACACAGTCTCGAATTGGAGGAGCCATGATGGCCAGTCACTGTCACGCGCCCCTGTGAACTTGTCCGGCGTGGCCCAGGCACGGACTGGCGCAACTGGCGGAGCTGGTTGCTGGGCACCTGGTGCAGGAACAGGTTGTGCAGCCTGAGGAGCTGGTTGGACCTGCACACCCGGAGCTGCTGGCTGGGGAGCAGGAGGAGCGGCTACGGCCACAGCAGCAGCAGGCTGTGGGGCGGGCTGGGCTTGAGGCTGTGGAGGCGCAGCTTGAGCAGCAGCACCTCTCAGTTGGCGTTGAGCCATGGTAGCAAGGAAAAAAATCAAAACGGGACCGTGGGAACAGTTGAAATAAATTGCAAATCAGGCCGGCGAGCGGAACGGCACGTCAAACAAACTGAAACCGGCGGTGGGGAAAAGACACCGCTGCCACCAGTTGTAACCCTCTCTGAAAGGCTACAGAGTATCTCAACACACAAAGACACAAAGAATCGGAACCCAGGAAATTACTCTCGCCATGACGAGTACCGGTTGAAACCAAAACTCTCTCTCCTGCCTTCAGCAAGAAGCGCGGGAAGACCAAAGCCAAAGGAAAAGGGTGTCACGTGTGGGTCTAGGTTCCCGCCGGCGCCAGGGCCGCCAGGGGGGTGAATGTTGTAGCCACGGCACTACTAGGGAGTTCAGTTCCGGTCACTGAAAAGCGAAAAGTGCAGTCACAGCTCGCCTGTACAAAGTGAATGGGCGCCTCGACTGCTCGAGGCTGCGAGATGCAGTTCGCGGCCCGAGTATCTTCTCCCGCGGCCTTTTCGGCCTTGTCGATGCTATTTTTAGGTAGCTGAGGTCATTACCTTTCCAATGGATGGTGCCACACATGCCATGCTTCCAAGAATAATACGTCCGTGAACTTTTACGTCAAAAAGTGAAAAAATTCACGTAAAATTTGACGTGTTTTACGTGAGTTGACTGTCCCGCACGTAAGTTCATGACGTGAGTTTTTGGAAGTTTCGCTTGGTTATCCCGACCGAATTTGTGTGAGTTTCCGGAATTTTATCGAGATTTATCGAGTTTGTTGGAAGATTTGATATTTGTGCGAACTAAACCCGAATCCTGCCAGGCAGTGACGGTGAAAACGTGTGACTTGTGCAAGTCGGCGCGCACGGCATGCGTGCACACTGCATGCATGCACACATCCTGTATCGCCATGCATGCACCAGATAGTGCAGTGCCTGACGGAAACCACACGGCTCCCATACATACTTGCATTTACTTCTGTGACTACTTTCTCCCCCGTTTTCCGATCTTCAATCGACTATAACTCTAGATTGCCTTGGAATTTTGGGTTCAAATTTTCACAGGTTGTTTCTCGATTCTTCCCGGTTTAGAAAAACTAGCGTTTTATGCAAAACTCGCGAATTTGATTTTTCAATTGAAGTCCCTAGCACTAGCACTGTGACGGCGATATCACGAGACAGCATACGTCACTACTTGTCCAAGGGTCTACATAATTGTGTTTATTTTGCCCGTACAATGGCTTGTATATTTTACTTAAAAAATAAATTTAAAAAAAAACTTGCGTGGGGACTTGGGCCCGTTGGGGATTTCCCGGTTTCGCGGCAGTCGCATCGCAAAAAAGCTTCTGTGAATCCCGCTTTTTTTGTTTGCTGACAGGATATGCATGGGATCGCTTTTCTAAAATTCAATGATACATGTCATGATGATGCACTAGCTGTATGATATCCTGAGTGTACTTTTTGTAACATTTGCTTGACGAGTGGATGGACAACTAAGTTTATCCTAAGTAATAATAGTTACTAAGACTGCCAGAAGAGGACAAATCTCCCTGACCTGAGTGCCGATTTTACACAGGATGGCGTGCCAGAGGCTGTGCAATCGCCAGGTATATTGTATAAGTAGATGTTTGATTTTCACAACCTGTAGAAATTCAGTTCATAAGAGACCCGGGAGTAGGTGACTTACCCTGCTGTCGCTTCTGCTCTTGCTACCACCCGCGGTGGTACTTTGTCGATACATTATCGAGCCATACAATTTTTTGTTGGGAATGCACCGTTAAACAGTTGGCAAGGCTGTAGATTTGACCAGCCCTATTTCCCCTGACCTTTAGTACACCACACAGCATTGAAGTGGCTTTGTGTCAGGCCAGGGAGTCCCTGTGTAGATGCACACGCATACAGTCGACTCCTGATATAACGAACAGCATTGTGAAGGAGAATTAGTTCTTTATTCCCGTAGCTATGCAGAAGACGTTACTTCAGTAACGTCTGGCGCTAGCCAGGGTCCACACAGCTTTAATTTGGTACGGTAATTACGGTACGGCAGACGGTGTCGTATTACCCTCGATCGTACCTGTCCCGTACCTATCCCTACCGTACCGTACCATCAAAGACGGCTGGCCACAATGCATATTCAAATAGGGCTTTCAAATGCAAGATCATAATGTGAAGCAACTTGGAAGAATTAATATGTATGCGAAGTGTATCGGGGAATGCATGCAGGGCGCGATAGTGCGGGTTCGAATCCCAGGTTATGTATTAAAAAATAAGGATTTTTTTAAAGAATTTATAACATCCCTATGCTTTTTTTTGTCTAGGTCATCAAGGCAAAAAAGCATAGCGTAGGGCCCTGAGCTTCCAAGCTCTCTCGTAGCCGAAGTTCGTTATAACTACATTGCACTCACCCCATACAAGCAGCAAGACGATGACTGGCAAGTGACCCATGTCCATGACAGTATGAGTGCACTTGGTTTACATGCGGCCCTACAAGATTTGGTTCGTTATAAACAAAAACTGTTCGCTAAAATGGGTCAATTTTGTATGGGTTCAAACAGGGACATGGACAAGGGCTTGCTATATCACGAAATTCGCTATATGCGAGTTCGTTATAAGTGGAGTCGACTGTACGTACACGCACATGTGCACCACCCGCAGAAACACACGTGTCCACACACGTGCGCGCGCACACACACACACACATACACACACACACATGTCCACACCGTGTACCATGCATACACCCGTCGCAAGAGAAGCACCCAAACGCACGCATGCATACACACACAACATACACCTGCTGTGAGCTCTGCATTTTGCCCCGGTTACTGTAGAACGGGTAATTTTAGCGACGTAAAAACCCTAGCAAATTTAGCGATCTACTCATTTTCGCTAAAGTTTCAAGTCGCTAATCCGTTGAGACATTTGTAGTGCACTGGCGATCCGTGAGTAAAATCGCTGCAAATCGCTAAAATAAAACATCGCTAACCGGTTGACAATGGGAAAACGCTAAAATTAATAGTCGCTAAAATTACCCGTTCTACAGTAGTCTGTGGCTACCAGCAAAAGTACATAGCATTACATCTTGGGATTGTACTCTTGCCATCACGGCCAGTGGTTTAAAAATAATAAATAAACAGTTGAATAGGATTGAATTGGACGCAAAGTACACCGCCTAAGCCCAGGGTTGACCGACTAAGTACTTGGGTAATTGTAGAGTTGCTCCACATCTCTACAGGTAACAACTATGAAGCACTGTGCCTCTTGTACGCTCGTGTGCTTCACAGTAATATGTTGTGCCTGCAGCTTGAGTTTTTCTGGCAATTGCGATTTTCAATTGTCCCAAACATCATCACTGCTCTCTGAAATTAATGTACTTACATGTCGCGTTGTGTATTGTTGTTGTGTGCTGTGTGATACAGCTGGCAACGCTGTTTCAGCGAGCCTGCCGGGCTGCATCTGAAGCAGCATTGTCATCACCAACACCAGCAACGCCGCTGCTGCCCACGCCCCAGTCTGTCGCGTGCACTCGTCCGACAGGCGTTCGGGCTATACACCTCCAGACCAGCGCAGTCAATGGCGCCGCTACTGCAGCAGCAAGAGCAGAGCACGCCCCGCGCAGCACTACAGCGCAGCAAGGAAGTCGCGGAGGTCACTGGGAGCATAGCCGTAACGGTGGCGGCAGTGGTGATGGTGGTGGCAGAAGTGACTGGAAGCCATGGTCAGCTGCCTCGTGCCTACTGCTGTCTTGGACCCCCATCACGTTGATAGGGTTTTCGAATGAGAAGAACAGTGAGCAGGGCGAAGAGAGTACCACTCCGGTCACGAAGAGTGTGACTGCTAAGGAACTGAAGAAGTTAGTAACGGAGGCAGACCAGCTACACAGGGCTGGAGAGGTGGGTTTACGTTGCACATGTACAGTGTGTGTGTGTGTGCGTGCGTGCATGGAAGATCTGCAAGTTCCGTCATATTCTACCGCAAATTCCGCTCCTTACCGCCTATTGTCCCGCAAATTCAGTCCAATATGCAACGCAAGCTTTGACAACTTTGAAAGAATTTTTCAGCGATTGTCCATGGGGACAGACTAGGCTGACCCCCAGTTCCTCGGCACCCGACACTAGTGTAGCCTTTTTGGCAAGTGTGTGTGTGTGGTGTGTGTGTGCGTGTGATGTATGTATGTGTGCGTGTGATGTGTGTGTGTGTGTGTGTGTGTGTGTGTGTGTGTGTGTGTGTGTGTGTGTGTGTGTGTGTGTGAGTGAGAATGAAAGAAAAGTCAGGAAGAGTCCGAGAAAGAGAAGAAAGACTCTTCCTGACTTTTCTTTCATTCTCCTGGGTGGTTACCAACAGCCAGTGTATGCCGGAGTATGTGGTGTGGTGTGTGTGTGTAAAAAAAAGTGGAAAAATGAAGGAAAAAAGGGATTCACTGGCCAGAAAAAGTCACTTCAAACAGCTGCGTGGTGGATACCAGGCTAAAAATAGTGGCGGTCAATTCATCAGCCTTGCAAGCTGTTGAATGGTGTAATCCCAGCACAAGTTGCCATGTCTAACATAGCTGTTCGCTATCATCGCTTCCGCGATGGGCATGTCTGAGGTGAGGTCTGAGGTGTGTGTGTGTATGTATGTGTGTGTGTGAGAGGGGGGGCCATGCCGTGTATGCCTTTTTTTAGTGCCCCAAAGCATTGTGTCCTTGCTGTTGCTGTCTTGTGTTCTTGTAATCTTGTTACCGGTGACGATGCGGCTGCTTGGCACGCTGCAGTACCACAAGGAGTACGAGCTGCTCTTCCCGTACCACGCCTGCGAGGAGGCTGAGGTCCTCTGGCGCTTGTCGCGTCTCTCCATCCTGTGCCGCGACACGGTGATGAGGGTGGGAGGGCACTACGAGAGCTGCACGCGACAGGCACTGCGCCTCGCCAGCGCGGCTCGCACCCTTGCTCCGCAGAATGCCATGTGCCACCTGGTGAGTAGGCCCTTCCACACCTATAGTATGCCGCTAGTACGAGCACATGTGCTGTATTTTCACGAATATAAGTGGACCTTTACGACCTAAAACCGGAACTAAAAAGGGGGTAGTCGACTTACAATCGGGGTTTAACTGCCATAAAACCGGGAAATCAGGGGGGGGGGGGGGGCTTCGACTTATAACCGGGGTGGACTTATAACCAGGAAAATACGGTACTTGTGGAGATTGTGTGATGTGCGCTGTGATTTGAGTGTTGGGACTAAATCAGTATGCATGTGCACTGTGCATACAGGCACGTGTTGTCTGACGCTGATCTGTTCTCTATCCACTTATGTGTACATGTGTGTGTGTGTGTGTGTGTGTGTGTGTGTGTGTGTATGTGCACGTGCGCGTGTATGTGCGTGCATGCGTGTGTGTGCGTGTGTGTGCGTGCTTGTGTGCGTGCTTGTGTGCGTGTGTGTACACGTGCATGTGTGTGTGTGTGTGCGTGCGTGTGTACGTGAGTGTGTGTGCGTGTGTGTATATGTGTGTATGTGTGCGTGTGTGTGCGTGTGTGGCTGTGTTTTGCACAGTGGTTTGGAATTTCCATGAATCATATGCAGAATTACCGTGCACCTCATCAGAAGCTGACTGATGTCGGCGAGATGTTCAACTCCTTCAAGGTGAGGAGAGCCTTGCTATTGAATGACAATGATGGAGTAGCTGTGTTCTCAGCATGTCCGTTGTGTTACTTTCCGCAATGATCGTCAACAGTGAATGCTATGTGCGTGATTTATTGTTTTCTAGAGCACTACTAGAATCATGCCGGCAGACCTTGGGTGAGCGGCCAGACTGCCGTGGCTGGGTCGTTTCTGCTTCTCTGGACTGTGCTGAGGTCTGACAGAGAACTGCGCGTCTCTTGCTGGTTTTCCGTTCTAGTCTCAACAGTTGTAAATTGGATGTCCCCAGCTGCGGTAGATTTTTCTTGTGACCAGACGAGACCAGCACGAACACTGCACCATTCACACTCCACAAGAAGATGGCATCAACAAATTATGTCCCCAGCTGCGTTGAGCTTGGTTTTGATGAATGTTGTAGGGCTGAAACAATTATACCGATTACTCTAATTTCAGAAATTTTCGGTGCTCAATATTTTCGGTATGAGGGCAAAAGGCCAGGGTAGGTGGACTGAAATTTTCGGTACAGAGAAGCAGTTCCCTATTGGATTATGTGTGATAGTAATTGTTCTGTGTATTGAAATTTTAGGTATGAAACAGATGCACTCCATACGATAGTGAAAAATAAAGGACCGTGCTTATATTAGAGATAATACGGTATCGATCGTTAATGATATTGGTCGATCGTTAGGAGATATTGAATGATTGTTTCAGCCCTAGAATGTAGACACTTTTTTTGCCGGGCTGGGCTGGGGATGAGAGTCAAGCGGAGCTGGATTTTCAACTTGGTCCCCCAGCCGATATTGGTCCAGTGTGGGGTGAAACACATGTCCGTGCAAGCTACCGTAAAAAGCCCGTGTATAAGCCCACTCGAAATTACGCCCACCCTCTGTGTGCAAGCCCAGTCAGGAGAAGTCAACACTTGTCTTTTGTTTCAAAATAGCGCCCATGCCCATGTATACGTCCAGGCGTGCCAGCAATACCTGTACATGTGCAGTAGCGAATCCCCCCGATACCCAATACTTACTGCTGTGTTGTTGGATGTGTTTCGGGGTCGCTTTTCCCAACCTGAACACTGTTTCCCAATCCGATACCCAATACTTACTGCTGTGTTGATGGATGTGTTTCGGGGTCGCTTTTCCCAACCTGAACACTGTTTCCCAATCCGATACCCAATACTTACTGCTGTGTTGATGGATGTGTTTCGGGGTCGCTTTTCCCAACCTGAACACTGTTTCCCAATCCGATACCCAATACTTACTGCTGTGTTGTTGAATGTGTTTCGGGGTCGCTTTTCCCAACCTGAACACTGTTTCCCAATCCGATACCCAATACTTACTGCTGTGTTGTTGGATGTGTTTCGGGGTCGCTTTTCCCAACCTGAACACTGTTTCCCAATCCGATACCCAATACTTACTGCTGTGTTGATGGATGTGTTTCGGGGTCGCTTTTCCCAACCTGAACACTGTTTCCCAATCCGATACCCAATACTTACTGCTGTGTTGTTGGATGTGTTTCGGGTCGCTTTTCCCCACCAAAACACTGTTTCTGGTTCACTGAAGTGGGGATACTGTATTTATAGTGTGCATGCTCAGCTAAAAAATGAAATGGATGCAGTTATCGAGCAAGGGAAGAATTTCAACTTTTATATTCCAGGTATACGCCTGGTTCCAAAATAACGCCTGTGCCCTTGTATACGGCCTGGAAATCGAGGCTGCTATTCTATATGCCCTGGGCCTATCCACGGGCTTTTACGGTATTGTAAACAGTTGCTGTACTTTTATGCACCTCATGTGTGTGTGTGTGTGTGAGCGTGCGTGTGTGTGTGTATGTGTGTGTGTGTGTGTATCGTGGGTTTGTTCGTTTGTTTTAAAATATCTGTGCTGTGCATGTCTTGTGCATGCATAGTGCACCTGGATGCTCCAAGGAGGCTTGTAAAACTCCTGCTGGAGTTTGCCATGGCCCCTGTGGTGTGTGGTGTGTGGTGTTTGTCTATCTTGGACACTCACTTTGACACACTGGTATTTCAATGTTTCCGTGATTGTGCTGTGCACCGGCCTGCCCTGTCACTGCAGGAGAGTATCAGATTGAACCCGAACCTTGCCTACGCGTGGCATTGCTTAGGGCAGTGGTAAGTAAGGCATGATCTCGCCGCCGCTGCTTGCGCCTTTGCCACACGCGCGTTTCTACCACTGCATAGGTATCATCTTTCCATGCGGGCACACAACGGACATAGCGCAAGTGTGTAATGTTAATGCCAGTGTATATATATGTACATGTAGCTACGTCAGTACGTTTACTAGGCAGCACTGCAGTTGATAAAGCCTCTTGTACGGGCAAAATTAATTGCACATATCATCAAACAAGGCAGCACTGCAGTAGCGAAGCGATTTTACTGAGTATTGGGCATTTAAAATCACTGTTCAGCAGGCAGGGTGCCGCGCTCAGTGATTACGTGCTAGAGTATGCATCACACCATGAGTATTTTATCGGCTTGGGACACTGGAAATCAGAGTGCAGTGAGTGCCACACGCGTACACCTAGGTGAGCGAAACCGCCCTACTGTAGTGCAGTCTCCCTACTGTAGTGCAGTCAGTCCTAGGCACTCCCTCGCTGTAACTGTACCGTGCTGTGTCTGTGCTGTGTCTGTATTCCTCCCTTGATTGCACAGGCACTTCCATGTGGCCCAAGTTGGCTGGCTCAGTTGGCAGGCGGTATCTTACGCCAACCCGAACCTTGAACGTGGATCATTCGAAGGGGTTGGTACAATCTTAGTACTCGATAAGTTACCCAATGCTGTAGACAGCAAGCTGGTTGGGCCATAAATACGTCATCAGTACAGCTACGAGCTAAGGGGTCGTCCGCAATTATCGAAAGTTTTTTCCAATCCGTAGTAGCTTCAAATTTTTCCTCACCCACCCACCCACCCCCCCCCCCCCCCCCCCAGTCCGTAATAAAATATTATTGATGGACACACAACCCAACACATATGGAACAAACTCAATCAGTGCTGGTCCATGAGTCATGTATTGTATTACAACCTTTTGAAAAAGGGCTGCTTCTTCACCGCCTTTCCAAACAACGTCGCCTGTTTGGACATAGTCAATGACAGTCGTCAGCGCCAGCGCTAGACGGAAGGACTTCAAAGGAGTGCATGGAAGACGGTACTCTGGACGAAGGAGACAGTGAAACTCAAAAATAGAAAGTGTCGACTCGCCGTCGAATGCGCCGAACTTTATGATCCCCGGCCCAGGAGCAGCCAAGGAAGCGCGCGCGGGGGCGCAGAAACTGCCAGAACTACAAAAATATTTGTAGTAGACAGTTCGCGCGCAGCCGCGCGTGGAAAACAGGGGCTACACGTAGACGTACACGTGACACGCGCACGTGTCATTTCGGAAGTTTTTCAAACCGTAACTGGCCTTGACCCACCCACCCACTTTCGAAGCTACTACGGATTGGAAAAAACTTTCGATAATTGCGGACGACCCCTAAATAGGCCGAGCTACCAGCCATGGTGCAAAGGAGGCACCACAGACATTAAGATAGCTCATCGCTCTAGCGCCGCTCAATAAGGGCGCGTTTGGTTGGTACGAACTAGAACAGGATTCAACAGAACAGCGCGTTTGGTTGGGACTGCACCTGTTCTGGGTCGGCCAGAACATGTTCTGCTTGCTCCGGCCTCGAGGCCGGAGCAGACCGAGCAGTTTCACTTTTTCACAGTGAAACCTGGCGGGAACATCGATTTTGGTCCCAAATGATCACGTGCATACGCTTTTGGGTTGGACTCGTCGTACCGTACACAGTGACCATGGTGACCCATACACATTTTGAAGAATGCACCAAGTTTGGCATATTTTTCACATAAATATGCTCTGTTTCTGGAGTACCGTTTGGTTGGCATGAGGCTGCTCCGTGTGCACCAGCTGTTCGACCCTGTTCTAGATCCTACCAACCAAACGCACCCTAAGTTAACCTTTTGAGCCCGGGCCCATTGAAAACCTCTGCCACGCAGGAAATTTTTTAATTTCACTCTATGTAAGCAAACTTGATTTCAAACGATTCTTTCATATATCCTGAGCACAGAACTGTTTTTGTTTTGGAAATACAACAAAAATTAAAAAAGTTATGACCGTTTTCAGAAAGGTAGTTATACGCGAATTTGATATTAAATTTTTGAAATGTATGCACGCGCATGTGCATGTAACTCCAGTTCAAACTTACGGAGTGACTCGCATTTTTTTACTGTACTCATACATCCTAGGAGTCCTCTGTGCAGCGGTACAGCTCGACGCCACGCCACGGAAGATGTGCGGAATCGATGTAGTTCCATACTGACTCGTGACGTTCTAGAACGTGTCACAGTGGCAGTGGTCATGACGTGTCAGAACGTAACGCGTGCTCAAAAGGTTAAAAAGTTTCAAAATTTGAAGGACGCCTCTCTTCTTTATCCTTTTAAATCATTTGCAGGCAACTCGCCTACACTTAACTGAGCACTGTATTTCACACACAATCCAGTTATTTTGTCAACGTTTCGGTCCTAGACCATCGTCAGGAATGAAGTGGCCGCGGAAAAAAACAGCGATATACAAAGTCAACAAAGTGCGGGGCCAAGTGATAACGTGATAATGGAAACGGGTCAGTAAATTCTTGACAGTAGTTCTGGACCGGGTCTGTTCCCCGTATACATGTATATCGAATGTTGCACGACAAAACGCTAACAGCGGGATCATGGAAGAGAACAACTAACTAATTTGCAAAGTCGGCTGTAATGTAAATGCTGCTCTTCTTTGACATGGCGATCGTTTGCCATGGAGAGCCCCTCATTAGGCTCCCGCAGCCTTTGGTCATAAACCAATCAATCAACCATCACGTTTGTTTTATGTTGCGTCTTATCTCCTGTGTTCTTCAGGCCAAGGACTGCTTTCTTCGCGCTGAAGAACGTAAGCTCAGTACCCAGTCACTGTAGAATGGCTAATTTTAGCGGGTAAAAGGTCCGGAGAAGGGGTGGGGGAGAGGGGGGGGGGGGGGGGGGGCACTACTCTTCTCTTTCCCTCCTGTACATGTATCTTGTTTGTATTGTATCTGAGACAACGAAAGCTCTACTGATCATGGCAAATCAGCGGCCGCTGCTAATTCTGTACAGCAGGCCATGCGATAAGAAATCATGGTCGTTCTGATATAATGTCCTGACACTTCTTCAATTGGTCGGACATGCCCGGACATCTCATTTTGCCACACATGTCTTTGAAAGCCGACGTTTTCGAATTTCTCACTCAACGATGAAGGACAGCATGGAGTTTCTTCCGTGAAAATGCGCACTCAATTTCCAACATAGCTTTGGTTCTACTTTACCGCCTTTGAAGATCTTGGGCTCGTTGGAAAGCTCTTGATGAGAGAAATACGATGAGCCCAAACTCGCCAAGAGCACTACTTATTGTCCGCCACAACGCGCTCCAAACGCGAGTCCAGTTCTGATCTGAGAGGAGTTTGACTGCACCCATGTGCATTGAAATGCCCATGGAGTATTTTTTTTTCCGTCTCGGATCGATCGGACACTTTGTCCGTTGCACGGATATTTCGCCAGGACAATGACCGAAAACGGTCGGAAAATGTCCGATGTCCGACCATTATTTCATGCCCTGTACCGTATGATAGAAAGGAGCTGTTGAAAATAGGCGTGGTGGTGATGGTGGTGGTGGTGGTGGTGGTGGTGGTGGTGTGTGTGTGTGTGTGTGTGTGTGTGTGTTTTAATGTAGCCGTCCATCGATTCTTCACAGTAGCATGTAGTGTCAACGTTTATTAAAGCAATTTGCCTTCTGTGAATACTGTAATGTTTTTGTAATGGTAGCGATTTCCCTTGTTTGTCTGCAGTTAATCCTGGCTTCTACCTGGGCAATTTAAACTATCTGGCCTGGACATACGAGCAGCTCGGTGAAACCGACAAACAAATCGAGACACTGAAGAAGGTGGTGTCCTATGAGGCAGACGACGACGTTGATGACGAGGTTAGTGGCGCTGTCCGTGTCCCTGTGGTGTGCAGCAAAGGGTGTGCGCCTGCGTGCGCTTCATGGATTTACACTTGCCGTTGCACTGTGCAAATGAGTGAGGTTCCCAGCGCAGTGGAACCGAATCAGTGCCCCCCCCCCCCCCCCCCCCCCCCGGACAATGTGGCTATTGCTTTTTGTGTCCATCTTGCCTACCCCAGTGTCTGCTCCAGCGCCGGGTGAGCCGGGTAATCCACCCGGTTGGGCGGCGCTTGGACCCGGTTGAAAATACAGTACCTGGTCACCTGTGACCCGGTTGGTACTTTACACTTTCGAACTTTGAAAGGACTGACTATATGGCCTGTATGTGTCAGATACTTCTTCTTCTTTCATAATTTTCTAATTCCTGTCCTCTCTTTTCTAAATGCGGCTTATTCATTCGCCTTTATATCATTGGCCTAGTTCCTGTTTATTGTCCGAATTAAAATAAACCAACCAACCAGTTAAAGCATGTGACTCGGCTGGTGAGACAGCGCCAGGTACATGTGTACCCGGCTCCGACCCGGTTGAAATGGTTGCGCCAGGTACACGTGTACCCGGCTGTCCTACAATCCTAGAGCAGACACTGCTACCCCACCACAATCTGTTTTTCTTTGTGCTGTTATTTCTGCCTTAGAACATTCACGAAGCAGCCATGAAGCTGGAAAGTTTGTTGAAGCCCCAACAAACATAGGCAGCTGGTTTCACGGCCGTTCTTGCACCCATCGGTCACCGTCCGTGATAGAGTTCTCATGCATTGACTGTCGGTGAGTTTTCAGTCCTTTGCTCCGGTGTTATCAAGACTCTTCATCGCATGCGCTGCAGTATTTGGATTATATCTGCAGTATTTGGATTATCATCCATTGTCCTTAGTGCTAGCTCATGCACAACAGATCAATGCGCTGTCAGGCCTATGAACATACACCCCATGACGGGGATTTCCCGTACGGGTCCATGCTTCTTGGCCATTTTTTCTTTCTCTGGTCTCCCTTGATTCTACTCTAGGTACACTGCCACCCCCCCCCCCCCCCCCATCTCCCTCGCCCATTGATGCTGTTTATTAAGTATATATTTTTCGCTTTAATATCAATTTTATTTATGTTGCAAGGCAGTACTCTCACTCCGTCCAGGGTGGGTGGTCGTAGCTCTTGGAATCATGCTTGGTGTGCAGCATGCTGAGTTTCTCTTGCAAGTAACGTTATTTCTTCGTTCTTCTACAAACACGTTGCCTTGCAATGCTCCCGGTCTTTTAAGCTTCAAAAAGACCGTGGTGCTGGTCTCTGCTACCACTCCTCACGACAACCGCATGCATTTCAAAGTATTTCACAATACTGAGCTGTTGGTTCGGAAGGACTGTGACATGCTTCTTTTCTGTGATACTTCAATGTACAATGTTGCTCAATGAGATGCGATTGCGTGAGCGCAAGCCTCCATGCCATGCACCAGCTCACATCCCAGTATTTGCAGGTCTAGGGCTGCACAGCACCCGGCGTGGCATTCACTCGCTTGATCGAATTTCATTGAGCAGCACTGTTCGATCTTAACTATAGTATGACAAGTCTCTCTCTCTCTCTTCTCTCTCTCTCTCTCTCTCTCTCTCTCTCTCTCTCTCTCTCTCTCTCTCTCTCTCTCTCTCTCTCTCTCTTCTCTCTATCTCTCTCTTCTCTCTCTCTCTCTCTCTCTCTCTCTCTCTCTCTCTCTCTCTCTCTCTCTCTCTCTCTCTCTCTCTCTCTCTCTCTTCTCTCTCTCTCTCTCTCTCTCTCTCTCTTCTCTCTCTCTCTCTCTCTCTCTCTCTCTCTCTCTCTCTCTCTCTCTCTCTCTCTCTCTCTCTCTCTCTCTCTCTCTCTCTCTCTCTCTCTCTCTCTCTCTCTCTCTCTCTCTCTCTCTCTCTCTCTCTCTCTCTCTCTCTCTCTCTCTCTCTCTCTCTCTCTCTCTCTCTCTCACTCACACACACACACACACACACACACCTGTCCTGTTGAGCCACTGCCACACGGGTCACGTGGGCCCCGGAGGGGCAACGGAGAGAGAAGAGGAGAACGCCGTCCCACGGCGTCCGGGACACAACGGGAGGTCGCCAGGATTTCGGTCACCTATAACTGTTACAACGAGACTGACGTATGGCCGGGGGAGAACCTGAGCAGCGGTGTCTATTCGTGCCCTGGACCGAACGGAAGCAGCGGCAGCAAGACACACAGTGCGTGCCACAACACGGCTCCACTGCGATTGGGGACTGGGCCACACACTTGTGACGGGCCACCACGGCTCAAGAACCAACGGCCGCAGCGATCACACGGACATGCTTCGCGCTGTTCATTCACTGGCTTTGCGCGCTCTGCAGTGCACTTGTGCCTGGCACGATCCTGGGGGCGCGAGAACGTCTTCTTGCACACAGCACCCACACACACACGCACGTGCACACGCGCACACACATACACACACACACACACACACACACACACACACACTGTACTGTACTGTACTGTACTTGCTCACTGCCAAAATTGGTCACTTGGGTCTCCCGGGAGAGGGGAGAGAGGAACTCAAAAGGAATCTTGGAAAGAGGACTCAATTGGCTATTGAACCGCCCAACGGCCGACACCCCCTGAAAATCCCCAAATTATGGGTGGACTTGCAAATGATCCCACTTACGGGCTCACCACACCTCAGTAAGTGGGTGAGGACAAGGTGCGGAAAAAGGATTGACAGCATCAGGGTATCCGTCCTGGGATCCAACTGCAGTTACCCCTGCCCCCAGTGAGGGTAATACTTGGTACTACACACACACACACACATGCACACACACACATGCACACACACACACACACACACACACACAATCAATATTACATGTACTTATTTTTCAACCATATTACACTACTAGTATCCAATAGCCGTCTCATCATGGCGAGGAAGTATTCACACGTCGTACCTGTGTGTACATGTGCCGTATGTGAAGAGTACGGGCATACCTGGGGCGGTCAAGTGGCGGCAATACTGAGCTAGACAGGATTGGCGCATGGATCAACAAACTTACTTGTCAACAGTAAAGTATCAGGTTAGAATGGCATGGTGTGCATAGTGTGGTGTACATTACATGTACCCTACTGTTCCCCTTCAATGCTGCAGAGGATGATCACTTCTCTTGGGAAGTTGGTGCAGTGAGTATGACAGCCTGTCTGGACTTCCGTGCAGTGGAGCGTTGGACAGCACCAGTAGGACTTTAAGAATTGTCTTTCGCTCAGCGTCAGTGAACACCCAGGGCTGCTGCTCCACGGCGTAGTAGCATTGTTGTCCACTGGGACAACCGGTTGCATGCATGTCTATCTCTCTAGGATTGTGAAAGATGTGCAGCCCTGCGCAGAACAAGCAGAATATGTGCTGCTCCTGGACAGGGCAGTGAACTGCGCTTGAAGTCGCGTCTTGCAGTTTCTTGCATGAAAAGCAAACAAATGCCGCGGCAAAGTCGGTGCTGCTCTGGAGTGGTGTGGCGTGACGGTGCTGTGCCTCCTGCCTTGCACTGCCCACAGACCAATGGCTATCTGCTTGCCCGTCGTCATGGCTGCTGCTGCCATATGCACTGCTATTGCAGCTCTGGCCGTTCCTCTGCAGCTGCTGTGAAGGTACGCTGTGTTTCGGAGCGAGACTGCCACCGCCCAAGCCCATGCTGCTTACACTGTTGCGACGACGGGAGTCGCTGCTCCGAGGCAGAATACTAGTAATACGCACGGCAGCTTGACTGGCAGCTTCCAGCTCGCTGTTGCTGCGGCTATGCGCACCGTCACCAGGGCTAGTCATTACTGCAGTACCGCCGGAGGAGTATCCGTGTGACCAGGAGGCACGTGGGCACAAGCGGTGCTCACCAGGCCCCGGCTGACTATCTGTTGACGCAGCCTCGTCGTGTTGAGGCGTAATCGGCAAGCTCCACGGCCGGCCACTGCCACTCTGCAGGTCATGTCTGGTCGTTTTAGTCACAGATAATGCCTGCACATTGGGCATGGGTTGTTTGAATTCTACAACCTCTGCGGGCAGTAACTCATCCAGTTTGATCCAGCGTCCTCCCCCGTTTGCTGTGTGGTAGTATTCCAGATGATGTGTAGCATCTACAAAAGTGGTGATATCTGCTCCGGCATTCCTTCTTTCCGACAGTGCTCTTATTGGTGCAGTGGCGAAGGCTGCATCAGCCGTAACAGCAGCAGAATCAGCAGTGGCTTGACACGATGCCTCATGTGTAGGTGCACCATCACTGCTGTTCCACGCCGGCCCGCGGTTTGCTTCAAACTCCATCATCTTTCTCACCGCTTCTGACAGGCTGTGCAGCCGCAGATGTCGGCTGGATTCATCAAAGCCCACCAACTCAACACTTGCATCCAGAGTAGCCGACTGAGGTACTTCTGCTGCTGCTGCTGCTGCTATAGATATTGCAGGCGACGGTCTGTACTGTTCGTGTTCAAAGAAGCTCGTGATCAGTGCACTGTAGGCGCTCTGATTGCTGTTCGTCGTCGTCGTCTCGCCAGTGCTGCAGCTTCCAACCACCGACTCAGCAGCCAGGCGGATTTCAATTGGGAGCAGACACGCCAGCTGGTCAATTGTGTACTGGCCAACAGAAGGCAGCTCGCCTCCTGGACTAACAACGCCCTTGGCGAACAATTCCCTGCTTCTATCTAGGTCTGGGTGGTGAGCTGCTGAAGAGCGTGAGTGTCTTGGCGAGTGTCTTGGTGAGTGTCTTGGCGATTGTCTTGTGGTGCTTGGAGACATGCTGCTGCTGTTGCTATGCCGGTTACCGTCATCCGGACTGCTGTTGCTGGGATGATAGAATACATGCTGGGCGTGATGAAATTGACCGGTTCCAACATCCTTCTGCGCGTTGCTCGTGTTGTTCGGCGAGATCAATTTAAGACTGTCACATGATCCGGACTGTGCGTGTCTGGTAGCATCCAAGCTTGGCCTCTCCCGGACCTCACTGCCCACCTTGGCAACTCTCCGGCTGTTGAGTGGCGGTGGGCTACCCACTGCATCGCTGAGTGCAACATGTTGCAGTTGTGCATGTCCTCCAACAGAGGCTCTGTTTGCCGCTTTCAGTTGGCAGATTTCACCGATCAGTTTCTCAATTCGACCGCTGTCCGCTCCCTCGCTGTTGCAGCAGCTTCTGCACACCGCCTGGCTGAACGTTCCAGAAGGTAGCGTTGCCCAGGGAGACCGTTGCACGTCACACATATAGCAGGTTAGGCGATTTCCGCCGGCCGCGAGCTGTTCGTTCTGCTTCTGACTGCGGGCTTCTTCGATGAGCTGCTCCACGCCAACCCAGTCCGCTCCTTCGAAATTCCAGCAGGGTCGGCAAATTGGCTCACTGAGTCGCCCATTGCTCACCATTACCCAGGGATTACGTGGCATGTCACACAGATAGCAGTAAATCTTCTTGCCAGGTCGACTCCCGACGTGACCATCCATGGTGTCGGACAGTTCAGTTCGAGGTCGGATGGCCAGACAAGTTTCGAGGTTGGATGGCCACACAGGTTTCGAAGTCGGGTGGCCAGACGGGTTTCCGACTAATCCGCTGAGACTGGGTCAGGGATCGAAACGAAGAGACCGCCTTGTTAGTTTGGTTCGCCTTCGAAGCAGCAATTTCGCAGATGGACAATTGCAAAGTCTGCCTTTGGCGCTCCGCGACCCTGGCAGCGAATGTGTGCATTAGTATAGCGTTTTACGTCAGCGCGCCTCGCATCAGTAAACTCATCGGGGCCGTGGCCTTTGCTGAGATGATGTTGGCTTCGGGTAAAGTGGCCAAGCGCTTTGCACGCGTAGTCGGAGCAAGATCTATAATGCACACTTACGTGTCCACTTAGTAACCACCGTGGCGTTAGGAGAAAATTGAAATTCCTCAGTGTTGCACCACGTCAGTCGTCACGGCCAGCAGCTTCACGGTCACCAGGTCACGCGCTAGGTGGCCGCAACTGATGTCACTCTCACTCAGCGCAGGTTGCAACTAACGCGCAGCAGGACGAGCGACACAGCGGATGATGGCAATGTCTCCAATGAGGCACTTTATCCCAGTAAGTACCTACTGAGTAGATCTTGTGTAGCTCTACTTGTACGTAGTCGTTAGCAGATGCCTACCCCTTTGACCAGGCAGGGAGTTGTTTTTTACTGACTTTCACTTCACTCTTCAGTGCATTTACTGCCACCCAGACCCTACTTAGCCTGTCGGCATTTTTACATATCCCAGGTATTGCAGGAGATATGCCTGCCTATTTCAGCAATTGGGCCTGGCAAGACACTTTGTCGTTTGCAAGCCCTAACCAAATGTGAAGAATCCGCACAGTATGCTTGGAATGACAGGGCACTTTTTCAGCGGTAGTAAAACTGAGACCATGCATCTCCAAGGTCTTTGGAACAACACAATAGTAACTTTATTCATAATCAGTATGGTGGTAGGCACGCACCTGGCAATATGGCGGTAAATACACGCCGGACAGTAATTAAACAACAACAGGAAGAAAGGAGATAAATGGCTGATATCATACATGGCTGTAAATACAGTCTAATGTCGAGCCAGAGGCGCCTCAGCCTGGACAAAGTCAACAGGCGCGATGTCGAAGCGACGACGGCGAACAGAGCGTGATCCACGGATGCAACGGATGGCAGATCTGGCAAGAGAAAATGCCAAGCAGCACCGCAGCCAAGCTACAGCCCGGCTATAGGCAGCATTGCGTTTGGTGGCCAAGCCATGTGCCAGCCTCTTGACTGCTACGGCTGCTTCAGAGCCCATCCCACCACAGGAGGAGAAGACTAACGGTGTGAAGGAGCCATGCTCGACTTCATTGACACGTTCGCCGTAAGCACGCTTCTTCTCTCCTTCGAACCTTTGGTAGAGGGAGGGGAGAGACTTGGACCGATAGCTTGACACATGGGGATAAAACACCCTTGTATCAAAAATGCATTGCGGCTATCGGTCCAGAATCCCTTCACCCTCAGGTCGGCACGGGCATCAGGATCAGTGTTGGCTGACCAATGGTGAAAGGTTTCACCATTTAGGGGCTGCAATGGTGGCTCCACCTCCACATCATGATGGAGCTCCTTCATGCACGACGCAAGGCAGTCGGTGGGGTCATTGTGTCGCATGTTGATGAATCCCGACAGCTTGCAAATCTGGGCATGGTCAACTGAGAACCTTGAGCCACAGGGACAGAATGCTGGCAGGTTGTCCAGAGGCCAACAGTACCAGAGCCGAATATGATCGTGAAAATCACCCTTCACATCAAAGCTGAAACCGTGCTCAGCCATAGGGATGGTGGTCAGGGTACTCGACCCGCCCTTCTCGCATGCCAATGATATTGCTCGCTGTTGTGGCTGCGGCAGGCGGTCTTGGATGGCAGTCGCTGTTGCGCCCAGTACTGCTCGGTGGCGAATTCGCACTGCCGACTTAGTTGCCTGGTCCAGCCGAATGCTCTCCAGCAACTCCGATCCACCGGTGGCGATCTCAGCTGCGAGGTGGGTGGTGCACTCCGAAGACGCAGCGTGCTTGCGTGGAGAGTCCTCAACAGGGTTGTTGAAAGACAAGCCTCCATGTCGAGCAGGCAGAGCCACCATCTCCATCTCCAGATCGCTCACTTCATGCTTGGTCAGAGCCGGCAGTAGACGGCTGCGAACAGCATCCTGTAGAGGCGGCTGCATGTGATCACCAACAGTGGGCATAGTGCGTTGGAGGAATGTCCCGTGACCGCGGTGACGCAAACCGTCTTTGGAACATGCAGCACATGTACAGTAACACCGGTGACTACCGACCGCCCCTATAGCCTGTATAGGCCTAGGTGCCAGCAAAAGCGGTCTTTAGTAGCAGGTGGTCTTTAGTTAGAGGTTCGCACCGTGCGACCATATATGGATCCCAGTATATGATATGCATATCAAAGTGCAGCTAATACAATTCCCCAGGACTTGCGCAATGCCATTCTTATTTCAGGTCAAACAACACTTGGAGAGAAAGACGGAGAGATGGAGAGAGACAAAAAGAGAGAGAGAGAAGATTACTTTTTTTGCAGACATCAAATTCAGCTGCTACTTCTGAAGCCAGGAGTCAAATGTTCCCTGTGGAAGTTTCGTTTTGCGCTGAGCTTCAAATCTGTTCAAATTTGTTCATCCGATCAATCGTACCGGCTATCCTTGTCGTGACTTCTCGATTGTTCGAACACGATCCTTCAGCATCAGGACCTTGCGGTGCTGCTTTGTTTCTGGATTCCTTGACGCCATCGTCGATTCATTTGTATGACTGGGGTGACAGAGCTGCTCAGTCTTCGTTTGTCCTCCAAGTAGTAACATCGAGCAGAGAGCGCTTTCGATGCGCTCTCCAAGACGTTTCCTATCATGTTTATTCTTGACAGCGCTTGAAATTCTGACAGGTGTAGTGCAGTCCACATCGACTCCACAGTCAAAATGGCCTGCGTTCATTTGTTCAGCTGTAGTACCGAAAGATTCCTTTCAGGACCATGGAAAATCAGCAAAAATTTCAAGAAGGAGCTTCGAGCAACATTTGATTTCCTACATCGCGGTCGCTAGTTACGGGTCAAAAATCGTCTTTGGGACAAGAAAAGGCGGTCGCTGGTCGCGTTTAGCAGGTAGTCGCTAGTCACAGTGCATTTTGAATGTGAGACCGTCCGTGCCTGGCCAAGTGGTCGGTAGTACCAGGCTGGTCGCTAGTCACAGTGGTCTCTAGTCACAGTGGTCTCTAGTCACAGTGGTCTTTAGTCACAGTGGTCTCTAGTCACAGTGGTCTCTAGTCACAGTGGTCTCTAGTCACACTGGTCTTTAGTCACAGTGGTCTCTAGTCACAGTGGTCTCTAGTCACAGTGGTCTCTAGTCACAGTGGTCTCTAGTCACACTGGTCTTTAGTCACAGTGGTCTCTAGTCACGGTGGTCTCTAGTCACAGTGGTCTCTAGTCACAGTGGTCTCTAGTCACAGTGGTCTCTAGTCACAGTGGTCTCTAGTCACACTGGTCTTTAGTCACAGTGGTCTCTAGTCACGGTGGTCTCTAGTCACAGTGGTCTCTAGTCACAGTGGTCTCTAGTCACAGTGGTCTCTAGTCACACTGGTCTCTAGTCACACTGGTCTCTAGTCACGGTGGTCTCTAGTCACAGTGGTCTCTAGTCACGGTGGTCTCTAGTCACAGTGGTCTTTAGTCACAGTGGTCTCTAGTCACAGTGGTCTCTAGTCACAGTGGTCTCTAGTCACAGTGGTCTCTAGTCACAGTGGTCTCTAGTCACAGTGGTCTCTAGTCACAGTGGTCTCTAGTCACAGTGGTCTCTAGTCACAGTGGTCTCTAGTCACAGTGGTCTTTAGTTACAGTGGTCTCTAGTCACAGTGGTCTCTAGTCACAGGTTTTACTGTACATGTACTTCAGCTACTGCCCTTACTACAGCACGACTGCTGCTGCTGATGTGTGCACCCCCCCCCCCCCCCCCCCCCCTATGCTAGCACAACCAAAGGGTTACGAAATCACACAATGGCTACAATATATCTCCATCCTCAGAAGTGCACGCCATCTTGAACTGCAAGCATGGCATTGCACTTGGAATGTACCAGTTTGTAAGTGCAGCAGATGTTCAAACCTAAGTTGCCTTATATGCTTCGTATGAGAAATGATGGTGTAGATTGAAAATGGCCTAGTAGTCTATTGTAGTTGTCATAGATTGCCAGAAAGTAGAGTGCCTACAGCCCTCCTTGCCATGGCGTACTGCATGTGCCGGTACATCTACTCTTACGGTACCCGTAATGATGTGACTATAGCCAAATCATTCTATTCATAGCTTTTTAAATCTAGTTATTATAGTCTACTTTTTTCTATTTAATATATGTAGCTGCGAAACAACTATCAGTCTAAAAGGGTCTCTGCATAAAAAAAGATGATGTAATTATGGGCACCATCCTGAGAAGTTTTCAGACCATTCAGCGTCCTGCATGTAGCCCACACTCCACTCCACTCCAGGTAACATGTCTGCATAAAAGGTTCTCTGACTGGTACTACTGTACTATGTATTGGATAGGACCCTCTAATCACTCTCTAATCACTGCTATCACTGGGGCTGCAAACAAGCTGTTCCCTAAGTAGTACTTCAGTCATTGATGAAGTGCCTGCTGGAGACAGTGATAGAGCCGTAATAATGGATAATTCCCCAAGTGCCGTGAAGAGGTATGTTAAGGTGGTGGTGGTGGTGGGGGGTGAAAGCATGCTGAAAGACCACTCAGTGACAGACCGTGAATGCAAGAAGACAGACCATTCTAGCCATGCACTACTAGTATCAATGAGTACTAGTATCAAGGAGTACTAGTATCAAGGAGTACTAGTATCAAGGAGTACTACTAAGACTAAGAGTGCTAAGAGTTAGAGCACCCCTTCCCATGCAGTACTGCAGTACATGTACATGATTGTACTCAGTTCATACTCAGTTAACTTATACTTATAGCACGGCCTCAGACAAGAGCATGCACTGCATGGCTGGATGGCTTAGTCTGCTGTGTGCCCAACGGACAGCCATGAAAGCCTGGAACCGTTGCACATGCGCATGTACTGCATCCAAACCACAATCATCTTCCAGGCCTTCCACGGAGCGAGACGTACATGTATATGCACATGCACTGTTATTGTATTACGATGATGATGCACACAATAACTTCTATTTAGGGAAAATGCGGTGTTGGCTATTGAATTTTGGTTGCCGGAACCCCCTGTAGAGATCCCTGGATCCGCCCCTGTAGCCTATAGTATTGGTTTTTGGTGTATTTCGGTA